GGGGGACGGGCTGCCTGCCGGGGTGGGAATCAGCCCGCCGCGCCCCCGGGGAAGGGGGCCGGTCGCCGACTCCTGGCTCTTCCGCTCGCTCGGAACTTCGGGGTGGGGCAGGTTAGGAACGCCTCCCGGGATCCTGTGGCCGCGGCGGGGTGAGAGCCTTCCCCGCGGCCGTTGGGGGAGTAAAGCCGATGTGTGTATTCCCGGTTATCCGCGGAGACGCGCGGCCTCCTCTCCTGCCCGGCTAAGTGGAAGGCCTGTTCCCTGCAACTTCCCTCTCACCTTCCTCTGCTGTCTCTTTGCCAGCCCAGCCCGGCCGGGACGGGGCCAGGGCCGCCAGGTGCCGGGGAAGGTGGAGAGCGTGTGTGGCACGGAGTTAAAGCGAGTGAAGCGAGTCCCCGCGAGGAGAAGTCTGCAGACGGCATCCCTGTGCGCGTGCGGAGCGTCCCGGAGCCTCAGCATGTCCGGGAAACGCAAGCGGGTGGTGCTGACCATTAAGGATAAGCTTGACATCATCAAGAAACTCGAGGACGGGGGCTCTTCCAAGCAGCTGGCGGTGATTTATGGGATCGGGGAGACGACCGTGAGGGATATAAGGAAAAACAAGGAGAAGATCATCACATACGCCAGCAGCTCTGACTCCACCAGCCTCCTGGCCAAGAGGAAATCGATGAAGCCCTCCATGTACGAGGAGCTGGACCGAGCGATGCTGGAGTGGTTCAACCAGCAAAGGGCAAAAGGGAATCCGGTGTCCGGGCCCATCTGTGCGAAGAGGGCCGAGTTCTTCTTCTACGCCTTGGGGATGGACGGCGATTTTAACCCCTCCGCCGGCTGGCTGACTCGGTTTAAGCAGCGGCACAGCATTCGGGAGATTAACATTAGAAACGAAAGGTTAAACGGAGACGAGGCGGCCGTGGAAGACTTTTGTCACAACTTTCGAGACTTCATCGAACGAGAGAACCTGCAGCCTGAGCAGATCTACAACGCGGACGAAACGGGACTCTTTTGGAAATGCCTGCCTTCCAGGACTGCAGTCATCAAAGGTAAATGCACTGTCTTTGGGCACAAGGCAGTGGAAGAAAGAGTCACCATCATGTGTTGTGCCAATGCAACGGGTCTACACAAACTGAAACTGTGTGTTGTGGGGAAAGCGAGGAAACCTTGCTCCTTCAAGTCCGCCGACACCTCAAACCTGCCAGTCTCCTATTTCAGCCAGAAAGGTGCCTGGATGGATCTTTCCATTTTCCGACAGTGGTTTGACAAGATCTTTGTGCCACAGGTTCGAGAGCACTTACGCTCCCGGGGCCTCCAGGAGAAGGCCGTGCTCTTGTTGAATAATTCACCAACACATCCAAATGAAAATGTCCTCCGGTCAGATGATGGCCAAATATTTGCTAAATATTTGCCACCTAATGTGGCCTCATTGATTCAGCCCTCGGACCAGGGGGTCATAGCAACAATGAAGACAAACTACCGTGCAGGTCTTCTCCAGAGCAACTTGGAAGAAGGTAATGACCTGAAATCATTCTGGAAAAAGCTAACTCTGCTGGATGCACTGTATGAAGTAGCCATGGCTTGGAATTTAGTAAAGCCAGTTACCATTAGCAGAGCGTGGAAGAAGATTCTCCCTTCCATAGAGGAGAAAGAAGGCTTGGACTTTGATGAAGAAGATATTTCACTGGCTACCGTGGCCACCATTTTACAACACACCAAAGGACTGGAAAATGTGACTACTGAAAACATTGAAAAGTGGCTTGAAGTGGACAGTACTGAACCAGGTTATGAAGTATTAACTGACAGTGAAATCATCAGAAGAGCCCAAGGCCAGACAGAGGAATCCAGTGAAAACGAGGAGGAGGCCATAGAGCTAATTCCAGAGAAACATATCAATCATGCTGCTGCTCTCCAGTGGACTGAAAGTTTATTGGATTATCTAGAACAACAGGGTGATATAATTCTGCCCGATAAACTGGTGATACGTAAACTTCGAGCCACCATCAGAAATAAACAGAAGATGACCAACTCAAGCCAATAATGGCATTTCAATATTACTGTTTGTAACTCTTAACCTCTCTGCAATAATGGCTTTATTTTGTGTGTGTGTTCTGAATTGTCAGACACAGTCCTATGAAATATGGAGACAAAAATGTACCTGAAGTGGTTTGAGGATTATGTGTTTTGCATCATCTGTGTCTTTTGTCCCTTGTGCAGATAATCTGAAGCTGGTTCTGTATAAATATAAATTACATGTACACATGTTTCCACTTTTGTAGATCTTTAATTATCCCATAACAGTGGCATTCCCTACATTTTCTAGCAAATGTTACAGATAATAATGAACAGATAGAACATTTTCCTGAAATTTTTGTTTAATTCGTGAGCACTGCTGCTGTAATCTTTTCTTGTGTTAATCTACTTACATGGTTATCTGCTTTGTGTATCTGTATGTGCTGAAAGAATGAGGAAATATCTATATTGTTAGATTGCAGGGTGATCCATCATAACTCAAAAGGAAGTTCAATATTGAGGAAACAGTAATATATGAATTATAAAAATGTCTTAGAAATCACAATTCTGTTACATTAATGTTTGGATGGCAATAGGGGAGATTTTTCTGAAAATTGAATTAAATACAATGTAGGAAGTGATTGCTAAATTAGTGAGAAAACTATTGGAAAACATATATAAAAGATATTCTATTCATTTGTAGAAAACGAAGTTAAAAATTTGAGGAGCTTTAAGTTATTTATACAAAGGGAATAAATAGGCTTTTAATTGGGTCTTTTTATTATGAATTGAGTAACAGTATATGTTTATTATTTATTCACCTAATTATATTACAGGTTCTATAATGTTACATGTAATAATGTTACATGAGCGCCCACCTTATATGTGGGTGACCATCTTGGGAATTTGAAAGTTTTGTTGTTTTTTACTCTATACTTGATATTGTGAATAATTTGAAAAAAATTTGTCATACTGTCTCTTTATTTCATATGAAAAGAAAAAAAGAGAAAGTTTTTATTTTTAATAAGCCATAGGTTATGTACGACTTGCTTTATGAAGAAAGCAGAGATAATTATGGAAAGTGTCATATTCTTAAGAAGTTCATCATTTATTATTTTGATACTTGTAAAACTTATTCTAGAATTTGTAAAAGTTTTGATATATTTGCTTAGTAAATTTAGTATGTTTATTCAAGACATGAAAACACTACCTATGTGAATATTAATATAATTTGTGATTTAAAAGCAAAGTCCATATTATTTAATGTTTTGGCCCTAAATTTTTTTAAAACAGTAGAATTGTTCTGTCAGTCATTTTTTAAAGTTTAACTTTACCATATAAATACTTTGCATTTTATAGTGCCTTTCTTAGAATTCTAAAACTTTAAAAAGATTTTTGCTTTCCATAATTTCTGTTATCTTCATGATACATGTCTAGATCTTTAAAAAGACATCTGTGATGAGAACTTTAAAAGTTTTATGTGCTGCATGAATTGCCTCAGTGCACAAAGTAAAAGAAACATGAGACGTTAACAGATACTGAATCAGATGATTACACCTTCTATAAATTAATTGTATATAAATGGATTTTTCATTTTTCTCAAATGAAACTATATACTAAAAAGCTTCTTGGAATTTCTGTCTGGATTTGCTCATTATTTTAAAAATTAACCTTGTCAGTAAAATTCAGCTGTATCATTGCCACCTAGTGGTTAAATTAACATTACTGTTCAGCAGTGTAGTTTCAAACTTTAATATCTAGTAAAAGGTTCACTGTTTTGTGGCCTTGAGTGTGAATCTTGTGACTCTTACCTGTGAGAAACAGTGCTTTATTTGTTTTATAGCCATTTACTCTCCTGAAGCTGCCAACAGTTCTGTTTTGGACCCTTCTATCCTTAAACAATGATAAAAGCTGCCAATTACTGAATACCATGTTATAGTTTAAGCCAGTGGTTCTCAACCTTCCTAATTCCGCGACCCTTCAGTACAGTTCCTCATGTTGTGGTGATCCCCAATTTTACTGTTACAAATTGAACATAACTAAAGCATAGTGATTAATCACAAAAACAATACGTAATTATATATGTGTTTTCCGATGATCGCGACCCATAGGTTGAGAACCGCTGGTTTAAGCACTGTACTTATATAATCCTCAGATTGTGAATTAGGTGGAAATACCGATGTTCAGCTCACACTCTTAATTGCTAAAAATCACCACTTGGCTATGGGTAAGAATTTAAGCCCAGGTATTTATCACCAAAGACTGTTCTTGTATTATCCAACCTAGGCTAACCTCGTCACCTTTTCAAATCTTCAACATTTATTCCTTGCTGCCACCCTCCACCATCTACCACAGTTAACTGAACTTACTTACCTACTTTCCAGTGAAGTTGTGGCACCAGTTTTCTTTTCCTTTACCCTTTTATGAGATTAGTCTTCACTCCTCTGCTCTTTCTTTC